ACAGTGCAGTGGGACATTGGTTCCAAGGTATGATATAGGACGTGAGACAGGAAAATTATTGATGGGTGACAGGGAATGATAGCAGCTGATAGGATTTGATAAGGGGAGTTAGAATGCTAAGGTCACCATACTTATAACGCGGAACACTAGGCAGCATCAGCTAGGCATTATTTAGAATATGATATAGAGTTGGAGATGGGGACACGGCACGTGAGGTGATAACAGCTGATAGGGGCTGATAAGGAACGTTGCCAATGCTGTTCAGTCAAATCGCTGGAGCCTTTACACTACCAAATCAGTAGAGTTTAAATGATAGGAGCATTGATGACGGGTGATAGGATCTTATCAATCGATAAGAACGATAGGGTCTTATCTTACCGTCTCTTATCCTATACGCCAAGTTACAAAGGCTCAGTGTGCATATATTCCTTCAGCCATCACTTCCCTGATAGCCCTAGAGAACTCATCCTACTATATAATGTCGATGTCGACGAGCGGGGGGGACGATATTGCGCTGTGTGGCCGACTACAGTTGTATCTATCTACAGATTATGTATTCTAATGGCGTCGTGGCGCGCGGACTACACCGCCGCTGTAAATAGAAGCGCGTGCTGAGTTGTGCGGGATCGTAAGCCTTGCTCTGTCTGTTACGATTCGATCACTACAGCGCCTTATGAGCAGCCCACTACCGAAAAAATTCCGTTAAAATTATGGAGCCGCCTGGCGAAGCCAGGCCAGCTCGGCGAAGCCGAGCTCAAGAGAAGGAGGAGAGCACGGCGTGAGCCGTGCGATCCGACTGGTTATTTATATTATGATAACTGCTGTTTTACGCCGCAGCATTCTTGTGAAGCCATTAGTGTTCCGTCATTGCCAAGGTTTTGGTTTGAGTTAGTTCGTTTAGTTTGGTTTGGTTCGATTGCGGCCTCCGACTTACATCCCTTATATCATTTTTCGTGAATGATTCAAAAATGACCCACATATCCATTTTCTTGCACTCATTTTCGTCACTTCTTGGACAGTTCATATATTCAGAAAAGGAATAATATCAATTCCCCTCGTTTACTGTTTCTTTTTCAGCTAAGTGTCCAAGCACAGGAGTTAGCACATCAACTTCTGCAGCTGCAAAGCGCGAATAAAGAAACGGTAGCAAGAAAAGCTGAATTGGAAGAGCTAAGGAAGCGAAGAGATGCTGCCAAAGTTATAGTCGCGGAAACAGCTGCACAGTTGGAGACGACGCGATCGAGGACGGCGACGCAAATGGCTGAGGCCGATAAGGTGAGATTTCTGAGCCTGGTTTGGGCCTTTTGTTTAGCGAAATACCTTATTTGAATATCTTTTCCCTGTGAGTTTTGTGTTGTCCTGGGACTCAGAATCATCTGACCAGTCTGGTGAGCTCGAAGCACACCCTCTCATTGCTCGTACAAGCTCGGATCGCAGTAAGGTCCTATATAGGGTATTTCGGGAAGAGTTTTCCTTCTTCATCTGCACTGCTGAGTTATTTAGCAACAAGTCGTTTCCCACTACTCACCATTCCTAATCGGGAAGCTCTAATTTGCTGATGAACTTTGAAGGGATAATGCACGATGATTTGGTACTCGGTCTTAAATGGTAGCAGGGGAGCCATTTAGTGGGGAAATGGCCTAAAAGCTAAGTGAAACTCAAAAACCTGCAAAAAGCCTTTGTTCTACTCTACTCAGAATTTGGACGAGTTTCCCGTAATCATCGTGCCAAGAACTGTACTGTAGAGACGGCTGCATGTACGTACTCATACATCCATGCAGCACCGCGGCTTCATATTAATCCCTTCGTTTCATATTTTACTTAGCAAATGAAGCAATACGAGCATCAGGTACGGTCGTCCATTTGTGGGCGGGCGGGCGTGGTGGGCGTCCGGGTCGGTACGTTGCAGCTTGATAGGGCGCTATAAGAATAGCTTCTTCGGAAAAGACACCACACGCGCTCAGGAGCGCGGAATTCCGTCCTGCTAGTCGTGCTAATCCTACACTTCCAGGGGATTTATCGAGGATCTCATCTTTGCCTTTAAAGACACATGGTACGCTCACACACATTGAGGCGTTGATGAGCTTGTATGTACTGTCCCCCCTGCCTGTCGATTGTCGTGGTTTCCCCGCCGAAAACTGTACGGGTTTAAGCGTACAAGGCCGTGGGAAAGTCTTAATTCGTCCATGCTCCGCATGGAAAAAAAAAAATGCTCAATGCTTCCAGTTGCATATGTTCAGTTATTCAGAAAACCGAGGAGTACGAGACGGCACGAGCAGAGCTGGTAAAGGCACGCGATGATTATCGAAGAGTGCTGCATACACTTGCCGATTTACAGACGCAGGTAATGAAAAACCGTCGGAACGTTACACTTAGCGGGGTTCGAGGTCCAAATGTTACAATACTGCTCCTACGACAATATTTCAGAATCAGTGCTTTTTTAAGGCTCGCACAGTTCATTGTTAAGGCTCGCACAAAATTATCGGAACGAGATGCGGAGAACGCAAGGCTCGCAGCGGAAGCTAAGGCCAAAGAAGAAGCTGAACGGGAGCTTGAATGTAGACGTCGTGCAGCCGAGGAAGCTGCTAG